GGTGCGTTTCAGGGAGTCCGCAATCATAGGTCGGGTCGTGATCGTGAATGTCACGGTCTTCGTGGTCATCAGCGTGGTCACGGTGCGTTTCATGGAGTCCGCAATCATAGGTCGGGTCGTGCTCGTGAATTTCACGGTTTTCGTGGTCATGAGCGTGACCACAGTGCAGCTCACGGAGTCCGCAATCATGGGTCGTGTCGTGCTCGTGCGTTTCACGGTTTTCGTGGTCATGAGCGTGGTCACGGTGCGTTTCACGGAGTCCGCAACCATGGGTCGGGTCGTGCTCGTGAATTTCACGGTTTTCGTGGTCATGAGCGTGGTCACGGTGCGTTTCACGGAGTCCGCAATCATAGGTCGGGTCGTGCTCGTGAATTTCACGGTTTTCGTGGTCATCAACGTGGTCACGGTGCGTTTCACGGAGTCCACAATCATAGGTCAGGTCGTGCTCGTGAATTTCACGGTTTTCGTGGTCATCAGCGTGGTCACGGTGCGTTTCACGGAGTCCGCAATCATAGGTCAGGTCGTGCTCGTGAATTTCACGGTCTTCGTGGTCATGAGCGTGGTCACGGTGCGTTTCACGGAGTCCGCAACCATGGGTCGGGTCGTGCTCGTGAATTTCACGGTTTTCGTGGTCATGAGCGTGGTCACGGTGCGTTTCACGGAGGATGAGCACGACGGACGTTGCTGGTGGACGTCCGCCCTTGCCCTCTCCCCCCCCGGTGAGGACCATCATAGGCCTTACCAGTGAGGACCACCATGAGGCCTCACACCCCTCGCAGTTTCCATCATTGGGACTGCGGGAGTCGAACCAAATCCCCACAAACCTGGCACCATACGTGCAGTGCCAGGGGCGGCGGCCCGTCTTCGCATCCTCCCATCATAGGGGGATGCGAAGTCCCAGAAGACGGGACGGGGTGGGCACGAGCGGGCATCACAGCCGGCTCAAAATCAAAAGAGGCATCATGGCCTCATCAATCTAGATTGATCCACTCACGGATCCACTGCAATTGACTTTCATTAAACTCATTCAATGCGTAGCATGCTTTCCTCTAATGGGCCGTGAACGGGACCCACTCCCCTGCCGGTCGTCTAGTGCCGCCATCAAAGGCAGACACAGGGGCCATCATAGGCACCTCGCACCCAATTCGGGGCCATCAGGAAGGCTCCTTTTGGGAAGAAGGACCATCATCGGCCTTCGCGCTCAATTTGTTCATTGAACTCAACCTTCTCATCGTCATCGTCGTCGTCGTCGTCGTCCTCCTCACCCTCCTCCTCCTCCCCCTCCTGGTTTCCACCCCATCGGAGCCGCGACACAGGCAGTGCGGGCAACACCTCGGCCTCGATCGGGCCGGGCTCGTGAATTTCATGGTTTCCGTGATCATGGGTGTGTTCACAGTGCGTTTCAGGGAGTCCGCAGTCATAGGTCGGGTCGTGCTCGTGAATGTCACGGTCTTCCTGATCATGAGTGTGGTCACAATTCATTTCACGGAGTCCGCAATCATAGGCCGGGTCGTGCTCGTGTGTGTCACGGTCTTCGTGGTCATGAGCTGTGCGTTTCACGGAGTCCGCAATCATAGGTCGGGTCGTGCTCGTGAATTTCACGGTTTTCGTGGTCATGAGCGTGGTCACGGTGCGTTTCACGAAGTCTGCAATCATAGGTCGGGTCGTGCTCGTGAATGTCACGGTCTTCGTGGTCATCAGCGTGATCACGGTGCGTTTCACGGAGTCCGCAACCATGGGTCGGGTCGTGCTCGTGAATTTCACGGTTTTCGTGGTCATGAGCGTGGTCACGGTGCGTTTCACGGAGGATGAGCACGACGGACGTTGCTGGTGGACGTCCGCCCTTGCCCTCTCCCCCCCCGGTGAGGACCATCATAGGCCTTACCAGTGAGGACCACCATGAGGCCTCACACCCCTCGCAGTTTCCATCATTGGGACTGCGGGAGTCGAACCAAATCCCCACAAACCTGGCACCATACGTGCAGTGCCAGGGGCGGCGGCCCGTCTTCGCATCCTCCCATCATAGGGGGATGCGAAGTCCCAGAAGACGGGACGGGGTGGGCACGAGCGGGCATCACAGCCGGCTCAAAATCAAAAGAGACATCATGGCCTCATCAATCTAGATTGATCCACTCACGGATCCACTGCAATTGACTTTCATTAAACTCATTCCATGCGTAGCATGCTCTCCCCGACGTCGTGATTGTTTCCTGACGTGACGTCGACCCCCAGAAGTGTCGACCTGTGCCCGGGGACCGGCTTCTCATCCTGCGTCGTTCTCGGACGCTCCCGAGGCCCGGCCAGGGCCCCCAGAGGCCGAAGGTGGCGAAGCAGCTCCCCGCCGTGATTCCCTCGCGACTCGCTGGGGGTCTGCTGTAGGCCTGCCCTCTCGCCACTCCCGGCCGTCCCCGCTCCCCTGCCCGGGGCCCGGCGAGTCGCCGCGGGGTCGTGCTCTTCGCGGGCCGCGGACGGTGGCCAAGAGGAGCCCGCCCCCGCCTGCCTGGTCGGGCCTGCCCCCGCCTGCCCCGCCCTCTCGCCCTCCCCTCGCACTCCTGCGCCGCAGATCCACCTCGCCTCCAGCATCGCTCTTGCTGCTCTTCCTCCTCCTCCTGCTCCTCCACCTCCCCCCTCCCCCCTCCAAAACTGACCATCCTCCCCCCCTCCCTTCCCTCCAAGTCCGGCTGATGTACAAAATCCTGCACCGCCCGCGCAACTGGGGCGACGGCGCAAACCTCCACGCGCCCTCCCCCGCCCCCCATTCAATGTTGATTGGCTGCGCCCGCGGGGTGCACGATTTTTAGGCCAGTCGGCAGATCGACAAATCGCGCCACAGCCTGCCAATATTAAATTTGGGCGCGGGGGACGAAAACATGAATCGGAAAAATAGGTGCAGGATGCTGTCCATCAACCGTCCCCCCATCCTCCTGCTCCCTCCCTTCACCCTCCGACCGCCCTCCATCCTCGCTCCCTCCCGGCTTCCTCCTCCCCTCTGCTCCCTCCTGCATCCGCCGACTGTGCTGCTCCCCTCCCTCCCCCTCCCTTCCTCCCACCCGAGGCCTCCGAAAACCTCGGAGAAACACAGAAACTAGAATAAGCACTGGGAAACCTGAGACACCTGCAGAATCATAATATTGGATCTGCCGCGACATACTCTTCCTCCTCCTCCTCCTCCTCCTCCTCCTCCTCCTCCTCCCTCTGCTCCACTTACAGTAGGGTGGACCGGACGCTTCATCTAAGATATGTTCAGCACTTCGGACAATGAATCTTTCACGGGTGGAGGGCGCCCGGTTTTCACAGTGTGGCTCTCGCCCCCAAACAACACATCTTCGTCTTACTATCGCCCGAAAGGCACACGGATGGAGGGCGGCCCGCTTCGACAATGACTCTTGCCGTATGGCCGCTCACATTCGTCTCGAAGGCTTGCAGGAACTACGCGAAAGGAGGACGGCCCGTTTCCAAAGTGTGAAGATCGCCTCACCTCCACGCACACTCTTCCTAACAACTTCCACCGATAACACAGATGACGTGCGGTTGGCTCCTTCTGCCACAATTGGGTCTGGCTTGAAGTCCACGCATGATTCATGGACCGAAGCGTGGACATGGGCAACGCCTACACGGATGGGTGGGGCCTCCGTTGTAACATGGCAGCACGGTTTGCAACTTCCCTTCTGTTTGTACCCCTGGATGCCCTCGACAACGACGACGACGAACACGTCGACACCCCACCGTCTGTGTATTTTTCACGCCCCTGTGCATCAGGGGCTCGGAGACTGGGGATGAGGCAAAAAAGAAGGGGGGTCAGCGGAGGAGGAGGGGAAGGAGGGAGGGCGTGGGGGAGGATAGGACAAGGTGATCCTGGAGAAAGCAACAGGTTCCGATGCCGCTACTGGCCGGACCTCTCCCGGGGTGCGTTCTGAACGGGACTCCGAGGCGAATCCAGCGGTGGCGACGGTGGCCTCCCCGGAAGCCCCCAAAAGGGGAAAACGATCAAAAAGGAAGGGTATGTGTATCCCCTCTGCTCCTCCCCTGGGGTAACGGGGAGGAAAAACCTGAACCCGCTCGCTGGGCCCATTGAGTCGACACTCGGGTCGGGCGAAAGGGGGGGATAGCAAAGGGGGGGTTTGAGAATCAGCTCACGTAGCTGATTTTCCCGGCGCCTCCCGGCGCCGGAGGCGGCTATGTATCGAGGAATGGGCCCCTCGGTGAGGCCGAAACCAGCTGCATGCAGCAAATTTCGTAACCCCCCCTTTCCCAATCCCCCCCTTGCGCCCGGCCCGAGACACGGTGGATCCTCCCTCGTGCCGCCTCCTCCCGGCGGACCTTGCAGGACCAGGAGCTGTTGTCCGGCCCGCGCAGGTCCAGGCCCTCCGTGCAGTCTGGCCGGCACTCGGCCCAGCCCGTGTTCTGCGCGGGGCGCGAGGTCTGTGGCTAAGAAGAGGGGGAGGGGAGGAGAAAGGGGGGTCGATGTACACCACAAGTGTGTGTGTGTGTACATGCATATGTGTATATATATATATATATGCACATATATTTGTATATATGTATATATCCTCTCAGAAACCATCAGGCGAACTTTGCAGGTGCCTTCAGGGAGGGCGGCGGTGTATAGAATCGCTGGTTCGAATCGTCGGTCGCATGCCAGCGTGGAGAAGAATAAGAAGAAGAAGAAGAAGAAGAAGAAGAAGAAGAAGAAGAAGAAGAATAACCACACCAGCAATACGCAAACGACTTATCTGAATTCTGAAGGATGGAACCGTGGAGTTCGCCGCATTCTTGACTTTGGAGGAGGAGCAGCTGGCGGGGCAGCCTGTGTGTGTGGTCCCCAGGGTATAGAAAGAAGCTGCACGGCCACATGCTTTCGGAAATGGTTTACCTGAAACAGAATATGTTGAGCCAAGATGGCTTGAGCCATGCCGGCTACAAAAGAGGAGGAGGAGGAAAAGGAAGAGGATGGCGAAGAAGAGGAGGGGGAGAGGGAAGGAAGAGAAGGAGGAGGAGGAGGAGGAGGAGGAGGAGGAGGAGGAGGAACGCTGTCACATGTGACACTACTCGTCTTCCTTTGACGAGCCCGCATGGACCCAAGCTGGGTAGGTCTTGGGGCCCCTTGTGGTAATCTTTGGGGCCGTTTTGTGCCCTCTTGGGGGCCTCTTTGGGTTCTCTTGGCGCCTCCTGGGCACCTCTTGGGTCGGACTGGTCGAAACGTCTGTTCGTGTTCCCACTCTTGGGCCCTTACGAGGGCCCCCATTGGGCAGTCTTGGGCGTATTTTCGGCATTTTGGAATCCTCTTGGGCCGTCATGGGGCACTCTTTCTTGGTGACCTCTTCGGTCGTCTTGGGTTTACGTTTGGGGCCTTTGGGGGTATTTTTGGGCTCATGGGAAGCTTGAAAAGGCGAGAAACCCGAACACATAGGAAAACCACAATAGAAATGCATGATGTCTGTCTCCCGACGCCCTCGGGGAACAGACTCTTGGGGCTCTCTTAGGGCGTCGATCGGGCTCCTGGTCCATCGTGGGAGTCGCTGCGAGGCTCTTCTGGGGCCTCCGCGGCGTCCAGAAGGTGGGCAGGTGGCCAGGAAGGCTCGGGATTGTGTGCGCGGGGGTGACGTCCAACCGCGGGGGGGGCCATGCAGGATGCATAATTGTAGGGATGTGTGTTGTATATAGATGTGTATATGAAAGACTGCGTTTCGCGCCATGCAAGGGGAAGTCGCGGCGGACAGGGCAGGAAAGTAAAGCAGAACAAAACCAGTAACTCCTCGTTATGCCTTATCCAACATAGTCGTTGTAATAATGTCAGAAGTCATCCTCCCTCATGTTTTCTCTTCCTCCTCCTAATTCTCGCCCTCCCTTGCGAATTATTCCCCATTCTCCTCTGCTTCTTTTGTGGAGGCTTCTCCTTGGAGAGCTTCTTTGGGGCCTCACGGAAGTTTTACATGGTTTGGGGGGGCCTTCTGGAGGCCTCCTGGGTGCCTTCTGGAGGCCTCTGGGGGCTTCATCGGGCTATCCTGCTTCCAGCTGCAGTCTCCCTGAACGATCGGGTGACGATTTGGAATACTTCGGGGGGCGTCTTTGGGCCATCTTGGGCCATCTTGGGGCTCTTGTCGCACTATCTTGGGGCCCTGTTAGGCCGTGTTGGGGGTTTCACTGCCTGGAAGACCAGTCGGATAGTTTTGACGTGATTTTCGGGCGTCTTGGGCGGTCTCAGACGCCTGAAGACCGACAAACAAATCATTCCAAGCATCAGACACGAACCATAAGAAATCGACGTGTTCCTGCACTTCGAAAGCCTTTTAGGAATGTTATGTGGGTCGTCTTCGGGCGTCTGGTGGGTGTTTGGGGCCTCTTGGAGCCCTCGGGGAGCCGTTCGGCTGCCTTCCTGACCGATCTGGGCCGGCTGTGTGGTTCCGGCAGGGGCTTCCAGGAGCTCCCACAAACCCGGGAGCCTTCTGCAGAGGCGTCCAGGGGGCCTCTGGCGCCAGGGATCCGGGAGGTCACGGTTAGGGAGGAAGGGCCGCAGGGCCCCATATTGCAATCATATAAAGAATATCTCTGCATATGCGTATGTATATCGCTCGTAACCAGCATGTGTATATGTATATGCATAGGACTGTGTACATGTATCGGTCTAGGTATATGTATATATGTACGTATAGGCATCCGCATATGTATATGAGTATACAGCTGTACATGTATGTGTATGTATATGTATGTGAATATGCATATATATATATATATGTGTTGTTGTACATGCATGTGGATGTGTCGATGTCTTTGTACATGAATATGTGTATACACAGGTACATACGTATATGAATGCGCGTACATGTATACACGTACATGTATGCATGTACGTCTATGTATGTGTGAATGTGTGCATGTGTATGTGCATGTGTATCTGTATAGGTTTATGTATGTGTGTCTATATACATACACACATGTCTATACACACCTGCACATATATATATATGTATAGTTATACATGGTTACATACATATATACACAGTATATGACCTTGTCGCGTCGTGTTGCTTCCACCCGATCGCTTCGCTTCGCCTGTAAAAACCTTGGTCGCGTGGCGCCAACGAAGCGTGCCGCGACTGGTAGCCTCCAGCGCCGCGGTGTTTGCTCAGCAGCGGGGCCCATTGGTGCACGTAAGGCTCCTCTGGGCCAGAGATATGACGGGCTTTCCGCCGCCATTGGGGCCCAAAAGCTCGGAGCGCGAATATGGAAGAAGGGTGCTTCGGGCAAGGCAACTCCTGGGGATCATGAGGTTCCGAGAGCCCGCAGCCGCATTTGCGTTCAGAGGGCTCCTCGGGCTGATGAGCTCATTGAGCGTGGAGGCTTGTAGGGTCCTTGACATCACAGAAGCCACTGGCTCTTGGGCCCCTAGGGCGGGTCGTCTCATAGGGCATGTGACGCTCATGGGACTCAGAAAGGTCATTGTGCGAATTGGGCCCATTAGGCTCATAGGGTTCCGAACGGGTCGCCAGGGTCATAAGGCTCACAGTGCCGACGGGGTCATGGGGCTCATAGGGCCCTTGAGGCTTTGAAGGGGTCGCGCGGACCGTGGGGCCCTTGAGGCTGATAGGGCCCACAGGGGCCGTAGGCATTATGAAGCCAATATGCGACATAGGGCCCATAGGGCCCACTGGGCTGGGAGGGCGCATAGGGCTCGTCGGGCTCATTGGTCTCATAGGGCTCAGAGGGCCCATAGAGCCCATAGGGCTTATAGAGCTCATAGGGCTCATAGGGCTCGGGCTCGTAGGGCTTATACGGTGCACAAGGCCGATGTGTCTCATAGACTCACAGGCGACATTGGGCCCACAGGGCTTACGGGGCGCATCAGTCCCATATGGCTAATGAGGCTCGTAGGGCCCATGGGGGTCATAAGGATTGTAGGGCCCATGGGACTTACAGGGCTCGTGGGGCTCATGGGGCTCGTAATGCATAGGGGGCCTCATATGGCTCGTATGCCTCATAGGTCCCGTGGGGCTCGTCTGAGGATCGGTTTTGTTTTGATTTGGCCGGCGCGTTTGCTGCCACGTGGAAAGGCATGGAAGCAGAGCAGGCGGAGGGGAGAAAAAACAGAGAGACAGAGAGAGAGAGGGAACGAGATGGGGGGAGAAAGGGAAGAGAACGAGGTGGCCATAGGTTTCGTAGGTCCCGTAGGGCTGAGGGACGCATGTGGCTCATGGGCTCGTAGTGATCGGAAGGCTCGTAAAGGTCATGGCAGAGGTGTCCCGGGGGTTCTTGGAGGGAGCATGGGTCTCATAGGGCTCATGAGGGGGTCGTAGGGATGAAAGGGCTGGGATAGGTCGCATGAGTTCATGAACTGATGAGGATGCTGATGCTCGTAAGGGTTAGGAGGCGCATGCAGTTGTGAGCAGAAGAGGGTCGCACGGCGCATTCGTGAGCAGGGCTCGCAGGGGTCATAAGAAAGATGGAGCTGATGGGCCTCAGAGGGCTGTGGGGAGAGGTGTCTCGGGGGCCTCTTGGAGGGAACACGGGGATCTTAGGCCTCATAGGGCTCCTGGGGCTCGAAGGGCTCACAGCGCCAGCTGAACCCGTCTTGCGGGGCGTCGTGGGCAGTTTTGCGGACTTCTTGGGCCGTCTCGGGGCCTCCTCGGAAGCCAGTTGCGCCGCTCGGACTGCGTGAGGGCGCGAGATCGCGCGCGTAGGGCTTGGGAGCGTATTGGTGTTTAGTCTGTGGCACGTGATAGAAAAATCCATCACACAACCTCGCGAAAATTAGCGAATATGGCCTCAAAAGGCTTCGGTGGGGATCTTTTTGGAGCTTTTTTGGGCCGTCTGGCAGCCTTCCTGGGCCGTCCCGGGACCCTCTTGAACCGCCTTCAAGGGATTCGGCAGTTTGGGGGCTTTCTGGGAGCTTTCTGGGGGCCCTCTTGGGGGTTTTCCTGTGGCCTTCCTGGTGCTCTCTTGGGAGCCTTTTGGTACCCTCTGGGGCCCGTCTTGGGCCGTCCTGGGGCGATCTGTCGGGTCTCTTGAGCCGTCTTGGACGCCGCGGGAACCAAAAAAGGCGAATATGTGAATATGTTGAAAATGCACGTTTCCTCAGAAAAGAAAGGGGCGATTTTGTCCGGGGTTCCCCTTGGGGGCCTCTTGAGACGTCTTGGGGGCCTCTTGAGCCGTCTTGAAGCCACCTTGGGCCCTCTTTGAGCGCTCATGGGCCGTTCTGGAGCGGCCTTGGGCCGTTTCGGGGCTCCGCGGATCTATTCCCTTTTCGTACGTTTTTCAATCCGGACCCTGCGGAAACCCTGCCCCCCCTCCCCGCCCCCCCCGAAACGAGACCCCTGGGATCCGGGGCTCCTGGGCGCCCCCTCCGAGGGTCCCGCGAGACTGCTGGGCATGTGGAGGTCCCTGCCAAGCCGTGCACACAGGTCGGC